TACATGTGGAGTCTTTTGGAAAAATAATGAAATTTATCATCAGTCCTTGCTTTTCAATAATAGGATTCATTTATGTCATTGCGTGTGTAGTTAGTTTTTCAGATAACTAGTTTATATTTATCTTCTGCAAAAATACAGCAACACCTTTCAGTAAAACATCAGACAGGGAGATACAATCTGTTTTTATAAGGCTGTATGTTTCACCCACACCAAAGCCTACCGTCTCCCAAACATAACAATAACAGCAAAATTACATTTACACATATAATAAAGCTGTCTTTATACAGGATAGTTATACAGTAATTACAATGATTTTTCCATTAGGAATGGTCGGTTTGTTTTTGCTTCACTGAGTGTCTAAGTCCAGGAAAGTCCATCTCAGCTGAAATCTACTGTTCGCAGGAAAAGGAGGGTAGCAGCCACAGTCTTCCCAGTACAGTATTCTACAGTTCTCCAAAAATATTATAAAGCTTTATCATGTTGGAACTAATCACAAAGTATTATTCTAATGAAAAGACAAAGGAAAATGTAAAACATTTGTCATTCAATATGTGCTACTGAAACCTAGATACAAATACGTAGAATATCCTGTACAGCAGCCGAGGCGCCACCTCCGGGGCTGTCTTGGGGCAGTGGGGAAGATCCTCAGCTGGAATTCACATCAGTCACTTCAACAGATCTACCTCACTGTGCACCAAGAGAGGCTCTGTGGCCACACACGCTCCACCAGTCTGGCTGCAGAGTATTTTGAAATTACAGAAACCAACATATTAAGTGGAGTGAAACATATCACAAAGAACTGAGACTGCATCTTGGTTCCTGGCCTGGTCCATTGTACCATGGCTATCCTGATCAAGCAAATCCAAGTGACACTGTCCAGAAAACACTGGGACACTCTGGCAAGAGCCTCCTGGCACATGACTGCTTGCTGCAGTACAGCCCCTCTGCCCTCACAAAGCTGCTCACCTGTATTCTCTACCAGCTCTGCTGCAATGCTCTTAGGAAATGGTACACATGAAATAAGCAAAGCATTCTGAAATTCTGTTTGGCAAAGTCACACTTACTTCACTAGTTAAAAATCAGTCAAATATAAATGCCTTTTCTTCTGAGAAATTACATTTGGTCTGACTCACAGCACTTCTCATGTGGGTGATTCTCCTTAAACACATCTCAATGAAACTGGCTCCATATGTCTTTTAAATTCCAGCCTCAACTGTGTTACCATATTCCGAGATCAAGCTCAGAATCCCTCTCCACTGTCAGCATGGACACAAGACAGAGCTAAGTTTAACCAGATTCTTCAAAATATACTTGATTTTAAAATTCTGCCCAATGAGGGTATGTGGCCTTACTTAGGCGAAAAATCCTTACTTCTCTTCCTGCCCACTGAAAACAAAATTACTCATGTTAGCATGGACTATTTGCTCAAGTCAGAGTGGTTTCACTGAGTTTCAGAGCTGGTATTAAGACTGGCAGAACCTTGCAGAATTGTATGAGAAACAAAGTGACCAATTTTTTACATTTCGCTATGCAAAAGGGGTGCTGCACCATCAGTGGTGCCATACAGGTTTATGTAGGCATCTGATTGGTGGGGTTTTGGGTTTTTTGGGGGTTTTTTTTGTTTGTTTTTAGGGTTTTTAATGGTATGAGTACAGTTACTATAATAACGGGAACTATTACCACAAATAATTTGTAGTACATCCTTCCAGCCCACCTGTTAGAAAAAAACCCAAGAAATTCTTGTTACACTTTCAAATATTAACAAAAATATCATAAAGAAACAGAGTGTCTGTGTTCCTATTCATACTTGAAAACTAAATATTTGACTGTTTGAAAATACTTCTGAAGAAGGGACACTATAATATTCTAGACCTTTACAAACATTTTGGTCAGTGTTTTTCGGCTGGAGTGGCCAGAGCTCAGGGCTTATGTTTTTTCTGAGCAGTGCAGGTTCATTTAGCACAAGGCAATGGCATTCATCTCTGAAGATCACCCACAACCCATACTCAGACAAAGGACCTTCTGTCTGTTCCATACAGCTGAAAAAAAAGTTGGATGGAGCCCTTCTGCATTTCAGCAGTTCCCAGCTGCTTTCCTAACCCAAGTGGTCTGGCAGCAGTGGCAGGTGATACAGCCAGCAGTGGTCTGACTGCTCCATCCATAGCTGTGCAAACAGACTCTCTTCAGGCTGCTCCACAGCTGGATGGTCCTTTTACTCCTTCATATACAAACTGACACTGTGGCTATATATCCTGCTTAAGGCAGGCAGCCTGATATGGTGAGTACTCATAGCAAGAGGGAGTAAAAGCTGATTATATACATTAGCAGTTTTCAAACCAACATCCATTTTCCTCTAAGAGGAAGCTGCACATTTTCCTAAAAGTCTATTTTCACTATCACTTATGATCATGTGGAAAACCAAAACCTTATTATCCAAGTATCTAAATAAAGGCACCCTCTCCTGCAAATATTAGCTTTGCTTTAGTCTATCCGAATTAGATTTTTATGGGAAAAGTATCTCTATGGAGGATTTTACATACACACACAGAGACACACACACCCCCACACACACCACACACACACTTTTCATTTTTTATTACTTACTACTAAAGACTTAATTGTATGCCTCAGGATCTGTGCTGTGGAAGCGCCCTTTTGCATCAGGGCATGTTTCCTTTGGCACCCTAAAGATCAGTGGAATATCTACAACAGACCAAAATGACACAAAATTCACCTTCAGTTTCCAGTGTAATATCAGAATTTGTGCTATATTCACTGAAAAGATAATCGAAGGTCACAAATTTAGATGCACTTGAGAACACATGCAGTTTTTTTTTAACATAATTAATGTCCAAGTACTCCCAGTAATAGCAGAAATGACATGTCATTTCAGAAGAATGCTTTCACAGTGTTCTGCCCTTGTCACAATTAGTAGCTAGTACCATTTTAACAGCTATTAGCAGTGGATACATGAATAATTCTACCAGCTACAAAGTAATAGGCCAGATACTTGTAGTGGACAATTTTATAAAAAATAATAGCTGTTTCGTTATGCTGGCATAGAATCATGTCTATTCATATGTCTTCCTATATGATTTAGGAAACCAGATCAATTAATAACTACAAAGGATCCTGAGTCATACAAAGGCTGATTACAGATTCTACACTCATCAAATCTCTATAAAATGACACCCATGTCCATGCCCACACAGCATTCACATTTTGCACATTCTCCTCTTGCTAGAAAGGACAAAGTTAAACACTGGATTAGAAAATGCTGAAAAGTATGGAGTACTTGGCTTCCTAATCACAATCCAAATCATAAAAATGAGGACCATCTTTAGACATGGACAAGTAAAGAAAAGGACTGATAAAAGAGAAAGAAAATCAATATGATAAATAGATTTTTCTACTCAGGTTGTATTAGAACATTCCATAAGGAATCAACTATTCTTTAACACACAGCTGTGTGAAACTTCTTTAAAAAAGGTTTCTAAAGACATGTAATAAAACGCAGGATGTTTGAATATTGCAGAAAACAGTTATGGGATTTTTTAGATTTAATCCATTTAAATTTAATCCTGATTCCGTGTGAAACAGCAAAATACAAAACATAAAAAATAAAATAATAGAGAATTATAATGGAAAGGCCAGTTCAACCTTAGAGCAATAATACTAACATTATAAGAATACAACCATTATATAAGCAACACATCAACAGGTATGTATAATGTATACACTAAGGACTTGATATCTGTGGTAGACCAGTTGCTCAAGGCCACTAAAATATCAATTTACATCCAAAACCAGCTAAATGTGCAAGAACTTCAATCCAAATGAGCAAGAGCGGGAATTTCTGTGCACTGTGCAGAACACACAGGCCGTAATGAACTTTTGACTTTGGAATATACTGTTATCAGTGGGAAGACCAGAAACTTTTATGTGCAACTTGCAAGGTATGTGGTTCCATCTGTGGTTCTGGAAAAGAAAAGTCATCAAAGACAATACTGACTAAAATTGTAAAGGTAGAGACCATTTCACACGCTTCTGTTCTCTGAAATCTTCCAAGCAATTCATATTTGAGGGCTTGGCTTTCCGCACACTCTTTGGATATCACAATTTTGGCCTTCATTATAGGGTAGAGGTTATATTAAATAGTATTTGGCTTGCCTTTTTATTATTAAAAAAAAGTCTGCATGTGATTTTTCTCAGTAGAAATTAAAAATGTGACGCTACATACTGGCATTAAGGTTGAGTTTGGTCAACCACATAAAATAACACTTTTCACTTTTAAATGCCTTTCATAAGAAGATATTCAAGTGCTTTGCTAACATTAGTCAAGCCTCACAACAGCCCTGTGAGGTAGGTAAAATACAAAGGAGGAGGAGGATTTCATTCAGCTTTAACACGATAATGTCTCTGGGCAGCAGGTTCACTAGCACTGCAACATAGCACAAAGGTTTAGGGCTTACTGCTATAAGGCAAAGAGTTAACAGTACAAGAGCACAGGATTCCCTCCTCTTTTGGTTATACATGAGTCAAGCTAATGGGCTACACAGCACTGAACAGCTGAACAAATGCCCACACAAAGATTCCATGCACCTAATCCACAAACAACAGCCTCCAAAAGTAAAGGGTACACAATGACAGGTGGAAGATCGGTACAACAGCTCTGTTTTGGGATGGGTCTGCTAGTTTTTGAGGAGCAGAATACCTTGGGAATGAGAGCCCAGAAAACAATACTGTCTCCACATAACTCTGAAAACATCTGAAGATGGTTAGATTTGGTTCTTTTCACACTAACGTTTCAATTCACAACTTACTGGGGATAAGCAACTGCAAGTGTAAAGTATGTTAGTTAATTTCTATGCCTTGTGAGGGCAACAACAAGATAGAATGGCTGCTCTCTGCTTTGGTGGGCCATGTGTTCCCAATGTACACAGCCATGATGTGGTCAGATGGTTGGGATAGCTTGGGACAGGACAAAAAAGCACTGCCCCCATCTACATTATACCTCTGAAGCTGCTGCAATCTGACTCCTGAAAACTATTCTTGTGGCTTTTTCCTCCACAGTGTAGACATGAGAGAGTATTTGGCCCCCACCAGTTTTATGCTCAGCATTTAGCTTCAGAGTGCAGATAGTCATTGTACAATTCCACTGTGTCACTGATCTTTCTGATTAAGGATTGAGAAGAAGCAAGCTTGATTAAGAAAAATGTCATTCGTGAACAATAGTCTACGTGAAGTACAAGGGAACAGAAAGAAAACCATGTTCTTAGTATTAGTCAGTACAAATAAACACATGTACACCCCCCTCACTTTCTCCATATTTCACTTTTCAATGATGGCATAAATAGTACATTCTATATTTGCAAAAGTATTGCCCATATAGAGAATCTGACCTGTCTATCATAATAAATCACTACAAAGACTGGTCTACCACATGAAACACAGCCCTCTTAGGTAATTTTAAGTCTTTGCATGCAAGATATCTCCCTTTTTCCTAATTTTCATTTGAATCTTATGTTTATTTATAACACTTGTGCACTATGAGCTAAAAAACTTACTACTGCACAGGCTGGGTGACCTGGGTGATCCATTGTGAGTTTCAGTGCCTTGTAAAGTAGCTGAGAAGAGGTGGTTCATGGATTCTGTGATATCACTGCAAAGCTCCTGCCCCAGCAGGCGTTCACAGTTGAAACTACACTGTTTCATTGATCAGCAATGAACAAATGCAAATTATTATAAAAAATGTAATGATGATGTCCTTCTCATTTTCTCTCTCTAACCCTGCTCCTGGCCCTTTTCTATTTCTCCTCCCTCGCTATTCTTCTACGCTTATTTAAATAAAGGAATATGGAGACTGCAGATACAGCTGGTAACTTGAAAAATGAACTGGCATCTTTGTAATCATTAAGAGACAATCTGAGTGGTAGACAAACTGGCAGCAAGTGGGAAAGTTGATTTTACATCTCATACTACTGTCCCAAGCTGGAAGCCTTCTGCATTTCTTGTTCCTGGCTTTCCTTTTGTCCATTGAAACAGTGATTGTCGTAGAGTCTTTGTGCTTTGTATAATGCCCAACTTTGATGTAACCAGAACTCACATACAAAATGTGGCTGTTATACATAAGCATGCTAAAATACAGGCAGAGACAGTACAAGCATGCACAAAATAGTCTTTGAAGGATTTTTGTTTGGTTTTTTCCCAACATTTACATGCACCATTTAATATCATGTTTGGTTGTGTACATTGAGGACTGGGTTTCACAAGCATTCATGATCTTCTCTTCTGAAAATCTTCTTGACAATTTAACAAGATTTCAGTGTAAAAAACAAAATCCACAATGAAAAAAACAATAAACCAAAAAATCTTATCCCTGCAATCTGATCTTGTCTTCATGATTTTCATGTTTTAAAATGTCTCCTCTTCCTCTTGCAGTGAGTCATGTTAAATGATTGGCTAAAAAGACAGATTACTGTGTCAAGGATTTTCTTAGCCACTGGAACAGTTCTTCCTTATAAAGCCTTTGCCACCGCACATTGGCTTCCACTGTTTCGACAGCACGAGAGAAAGAGACAGCAGCTCCCCCTTCATAACTCTTTATAAAGTTCTTTAGCTGGAAATACAAGTTAACAGGTTAAATTTGCAGCAACTAAAGAAAGCAAGAATTTCCAGTGCATACAAATAAGTCAGCCATTTAGGACAAACTTCCACAATCAATGTAGAAGCAAATGCAGTATCAGGTAGGAAGATTTAATAGGAAATATATTAAGACAGCAAACTGTCAATTAGATGTGATGCAATTGCTTCACATTGCACTGGAAGATATTGATATGTCAGTGCTGGATCACATTAATATAATTACCTCCTTCCCTCTTGCAGCTCAACTGCTGCACTGCGTAGATGGCTGCTCTAAACTTTTATTTGTACCTAAGAAACCAAACTGGGAACACTGGAATTGCTTCTAATTAAGGTTTATATGCAAATATCAGTAGAAGGCAGTACTGATGCCCTCTGGTTTTATCAAGCTTCAAAACACATTAATTTTATTTTGATGTGCAGATCCCTTTTGGTTATATAATACAGGTCAGTTGCTAAAAAAAGGAAGGGATTTTCCTTTTTTGTGAGAAGAGAATGGCAAAATAGCAAGTAGACATGCGTTTGATAATCTTTGAATGCCTGAAACATACTCTTTTCCTTATATGAAAACTTTGACCTTTTTTTCTGCAGACTGAAAAGGCTCTTTTACTCTTCTCGTGTATACTCAAAGTACAGCACCGGCACTTGGATTATTATAACCAATGGTGCTGGCAGGTTTTCAATTACTGTTGTTCTTTTCAAGTGAAAATTGAAAGGCTGTTTTGCACAATAGTTTGCAGGTTATGTTGACTCATACAAAATTAGATGGCTTTAGCAACACTTACGAATAACTAGTTTATTTTTTTCTCCTGGTGACACCAAACTCATCTTGGTTCCTAAACTCTGACTTCCAGCAACATCTCTGTGCCTCGGCTCAAAACTGAAAAGGTTGATCCTGCAACTGTGTCATTCCCATCACAGTTAAAAGCATGAAAGGGACCTGGAAACTATCAAAATCAGACTTTACTTGATCTCTGTACATTTCATACCAAAATGTTTACAATACCAGTTTCTTTTAGGGAAGTATAACCAGGCAGCTTACCAATCCTGTCATGAAGGTGGAAACTAAGAGTACAGAACACTTCCTTGTGCAGGGCAGTAACTCAAATCTGACAAACAGTGTCATTCCCACCTGAAGGGAGGAAATCATCTGTGGCCGCTCCCTAAGCTACTGAGGCCACTAGACTTGAGTGCAGACAAATGGTTGGATGCAAAACATCAGAGCACAATCAGAGTTCACATATTAGTGGTTGGGCTGCTTAAGAATCACTGTATCCATTTGGAGCAGCATTGTGCTAAACAGGGTGCAGCACAACTGTACAACTACCTCAGCCAGAACCAGTGTTAAGTTAAAATGAGAAATCTTTCCCATCTAAATAAGAAGTACAAATTATTGTGGTGTCATTTGGCCAACATATTCAGTTGGCAGATTTTCTCACATGGAAAATACTCAGAGAAAAACAGAGAACACATGGGCAGCTTCTACTTTCAACACTGATGTTCTCGAGGACTGCCCTCTGCAGCATAAGCTAATGAAGATAGAAACATCTCATCTTCAGTTTCTCAACCAATAGTGAAGAGAAAAAGACAAACCTTCAAATCCAGCCAAGCACAAAAAACTGCCTGCACAGTACACCTCCTGTGACACCAACTCTACACACTTGTGCTTTTGTGATCTGCTCCTCATCCTTGTGCTGCCCAACAGGTTGGTGCTGCACAGGCAATTGAGCCTTCAACTGCAGCAGAGAGAACAGAGTTTCTGGACAACTGTATTATTGTTCCTGCCCTGCTCCCTGCTTGCAATGAACACAGCCTCACATGACAGAAGTAGTTTAAAAATTACCTCTCTTAGTTCTCCTTCAGTATTGAGGAATTCCGTGACCCCACTGACAAGCTTTGAATTCATAAATAATGCTTCTCCATACCTGCAAGGGCAAAAAGAAGATGCACAGAGAGTTACTGCAAGAGCCAGGTCAACTGAAAACTAGGAAGTAATCTTCTGTAATCAAGAGAGAAGGCATAGGACTGATTTTGGGGGATCAAGGGAATAGCACTGGAACAGGGTACTGGTATTTCAGGCTGAAAACCTAAACTGAGACCTTCTTCTAGGCTGACATGTTTGTAATTATTAAGTCAGATGCTATTAAGCAGAATGGCTATAACTACAGGCACAGATGAGTGCTCCAGAGGAGGAGAGGACCAAACCACCTCCTACAAAATGGAACAGAGGGAGGAATTCATGGCAGTCTACAACTTCCCTATGAGGGGAAGAGGAGCGACAGGCACTGATCTCTTCTCTGTGGTGTCCAGTGACAGGACCTGAGGGAATGGCCTGAAGTTGTGTCAGGGGAGGTTTAGGTTGGATATCAGGAAAAAGTTCTTCATCCAGAGAGTGGTTGGGCATCAGAACAGGCTCCCCAGGCAAGTGCTCAAAGCACCAAACCTGTCTGAGTTGAAGCAGTGCTTGGACAATGCTCTTGAGCACACATTGGGAATGGCCCAGTGCAGGACACGGGTTGGACTCAATGATCCTTGTGGATCCCTTCCAACTCAGCTTATTCTGTGATTCTGTTAAATAAAGCTCAAAATACAGGTGCCAATGAAGGGGCAGAGCAGCAACTATGGAGAATTATTCTGAGGAACCCTTCAAGCTGTACCATTAAATCAGACTTTTTGATGTGCTGCAGCCTTCTGTGTATTTTGTATTCATCCATCTCATCTACATTACAAATAGCCTCTCAAAAACTGAACTGCATCAAATTTTCTTGTTCCACTACCTGATAATTAAAATAAATAATGCTGATAGGAATAATACTACTAAAATAATCCCCTGGGCCACAACGCAGCATTTCAAAGAACCAGCCTGGAATGAAAATCTGAAAGCCTGGGCAAGGAATATTTAAAGGATATGCAGAAGCAATCAGGAATGACATTTGGCAGGCAGTTGCTTTGAAACTGGCTGTTCAAATCCTCCTATTCACTTGTTTTTCCACAAGTTTTTCAAACCTCCAAATGAAGCACTATAGCACCACTGACCTAGTGATCACTCCTTAAGTTTTACATTTTATGTTGGAAATAGTTTAGTTTGTGGAGTTTGTTGTTTTGGGGCTTGGGGTATAATTCCACTGGAAACCAGAAGTAAGTCAAGTTAGATGTCATTCAGCATAGTAAGAGGCACTTGACAAATAGTTACCCTTATCTTTATCTGCACGTATGTCCAAAGCAGTATCTAGCTAATCTAAACATGACTGGTTTTAAGATAGCAAATCCAGATCTCCTGTCAGACACGTGCAAGTATTACCAATAGACTTTACTGAAATTATGTTCATCTGGGGGAACAATTCAATTCATCGTCCACTTTTACAGACTGATTTATAGACAGAGTTCAAAATTCAAAGTGAAACGAACCAGCACAGTCACAGCTTTCTGTTCTGCTTCTGTTAATCCCAAATTGATTACCCTCAAATGCTTAGGTACTCTAAGCCACAGTTCTTTCAAAGGGGAGAAAGAAAGAGAAGGAAAATCAAAGCAATAGGTACAGAAAAATCAAGAGGGATCTCTCTGAGAAGATTCTGTTTTAGGGAATGCTCACACTATATTGCTTGTTATCTTGAGCTCTTGTGAGGAGAAACACTGTTAGAGGTATCAAAAATCCTACTCCCTGACCACTAATAAATGAATTAATAATGGCTACTTCAGCAAGTACATATCTTTTCCCAAAATTTCAGTCACACTGGCATATACAGACATCCAGAGGAAAACTATGGGAAGTAGGGATTTCACGGTACTTTAAGTACATTTAGGCTTTCTAACAAAGCCCTTTATTATTACAGTCTCAGACATAACTGACTGTTTGGAAAACAGGAAGCTCCTCTTGATGGGGTATTTTGACAAGGTTACCAATCCACTTTAGACAAGCAACTTCATAAAAACAGCTGCAGGAATTTTATTTTTCTTACAGTCTACTGTAGCCACCACAGTGCAAAAAAGAAGTAACAGAATTCCTTCCACTAAAAATGATACCTTCATGCACCCCTGTGCCGATTACTGCCCATTATGTATACTTGGTAAGAAGTCAGCCATTTACAGCAATTTCTACAGAAGCTCTGCTGATGAAAAAGCTAGAAAATTCACATTCCAAAACAGTATTTTGCAGGTGTGAAACATAAGAATAAATAGGAAAAGTGTTTGGTCTTACAAGCGTCAGTCTTCTCACCCTTCATAGGATAGACAACAGCACAAGAGAACCAGGGCCTCACATGCCTGAACTTCAGGGAAACATTCTGCAGACACAGACTCTCCAGTGCACCTTTCCTTCTGCAGATGTAAACCTTCCAGTGCCCCACGTTTGTACAGGCTTTGCACTTGTGCAATCTCTAGAGGCAGCACAGTCCATTTACTTTGGACAGATATAAATGCCTTCCCAAATACTGTCAAGTTCCCAAATGCTGACAAATGATTCAGCACTTGAGAATGAAGGAATTCTTATAGGCATCTGATGTATTAAATTTTCACACACTGACACGTGCTCACAGGATGAAAATGTTTTAGGAGACAAGGTAGTGCATGCTCAGGTAACATGAAGTCAAGCATAGTATTTTCAATTCTCTTTTTCAGAGTTGTAGCACAGATTAGTCCCACAGATTTCTTACTAAAAACTTGTTTAGCCACCTCAATTTTTAGGTCACCTGTGTAAATTATACGAGTGAATTTGAAGACATTATACATCATCAATATGCTCTGGAAAATGTGAATACAAGCATACTGGAAAATATGAAGGATTAAAAATATTTTGTGGCAATTCTAACTCCCTGACATGCTATGTTTAAAAGAGGAAATAGAGTTGTAATTTAATCCCCCTCAGCTATTTCACTTTACTATCTGAAACATCAACACTTTTTACACTAAATTAAATGGAAAATACCACTGAGATATCACCTTATTAAATTAATGTTTTATACAAAGTATTTTAAATGTGAATCAAATTAAATAATAAATTATAATCATAGAGAAAAGGATGTCTTGGGACAAAGTCTTCTTGAATCATAGAATCCTAGAATGGTTGGGGTTGCAAATAAAATCCAGCTCCAATCCCCTTGCTATGGGCAGGGACACCTTTCACTAGACCAGGTTGCCCAAAGTCCTATCCAACAAGACCTCACCACTCTCACAGTAAAAGAACTCTTCCTACTATCTGATTTAAACCTGCCCTCCTTCAGTTTGTAGCTTTTTCCCCTTGCCTTTTACATGCCCTTGTAAAAATCCCTCTTCAGCTTTCCTGTAAGGACCGTTTAGGTATTGGAAGGTGCTATAAGGTCTCTCCAGAGCCTTCTCTTCCTCAGTCTGTACATTCCCAACTCTCTCTCTCTTCATAGGTCAGATACATCAGGCATCATATCACCTTTGTGACTGTCCTTGGCCCTTGCTCCAAGAAGTGCATGTTCTTCTTGAACCATAATTCCACAATAAAGCTTGTATTTTTAAAATGCAAATGAGCTGTGGTGAGCTCATGTCAGAAACCTAATCACAGAATCACAGAACATTAAGGGATTAGAATGAACCCTAAAGATCATCCAGTTCCAACCCCCACCCTTCCATGTGCAGGGACACCTCCTGCTAGACCAGGCTCCTCAAGGCCTTATCCAATCTGGCTTTGAACCTTGCCAAGGGATGGTTGTCCAACCTCCCCGGACAACCAGTTCCAGTGTCTCATCACCCTCACAGTAAAAATTTCTCCCTAATATCTAACTTATTTCTTCTATTTGTACCCATTCCTCCCTGTCCTATCACTACAGTTCCTGATGAAGACTCCCCCTCTGGCTCCATGGTAGGCTCCCTTCAAATACTGGAAAGCTGCTATTAGGTCTCCAGACAGCCTTCTCTTCTCTGGACTGAACAACTCCAAGTTCCTCAGCCTGTCTTTGTAGGAGAGGTGCTCCAGTCCTCTTACCAACTTTATGGCCTTCTCTGAACTTGCTGCAACAGCTCCATCATACTCTGGAGAGGTGCTGCAGTCCTTCATACTCTGGGGACACTTGAACAGTACACAGCTCTCCAGGCAGGGTCTCATCAGAGCAGAGTAGAGGGGCAGAATCCCCTGCCTTGCCCTGCTTTGGGTGCAGCCCAGGGTTGGCTTTCTGGGCTGTGAATGGACATGGCCAGGTCATGTTGAGGTTTTTCCTCAACATCACCCTCAAGTCCTTCTCTTCAGGGCTGCTCTCAAATCACTTCTCTGCCCACCCAGGGTGTGGGTGTTCCTGGGATTGCCATGACCTTGCATGCTATCGTGTCACTGTTTCCCTGAACAGTTAAGGGGCAAGGTATTAACTAGACTCTACTCTCTCAAAGTCTCATCTAAAATGTTCTAATCTATGATTACAAACAACATTACTTTTAATATATAACATGTATGTACAGCTTGCATTAACTGTTTCATTTCACTGCACTGAATCTTTTGGTCATCAAAAGAAATTCAAGTGGATGTCATATTTAGAAAAAGCAACAGCTACAATCTTTTTGGTGGCTCTGACTTGTGTTTGGAAATCAAACTGAATGAAGGTAACACAAAGAGAGTGTCGAGCAATAAGACAAACTCTGTTATTTTCATTTAAAAAAGGACAGTAACAGGTCTTTTATTAGGTCTTACTGATTGTTATGAATCCAGATTACACAATGATGCATCCCAAACAAGCAAAATAAGTACAATTCAAATTCTAGGTGAAGTTAAGCTATTTTAAATTATAACCCAAAAGATTTGGCATGTGGCAGTTTGTTAAATATTTTCTATTTGTGTACATTGCTTAACATTGTCCATATCTAAAAACACAGGTGTTAGCCAGGTTGTCAGATAAATATACTTACTAAAGCAGGACACAACTACAGCATATGTGTTTGTAGCAATACAAATTGTGATGGCTTTATGCCTAAACTCTGGATAAATCCCTGGAGGAACCTGAAAAATTATTTGCTATCTGAACTGGCTTGTGTAATAGTAATACATCTGCCATCCAGTTTCTATCTAAAAGTACAGTTCCTGGAATAATCACACCAAAAGCAGAGAATTCTTAATTTTTAAACTCTTCAGCACTCTTAGAGCTTTTTTGGAAATGGCTTTCAAGAAGTATGCTTCTGCAATATGAATTTCCAAAACCAATTCCAGCTCAAACCTATTTTCCAAGATGAACTTCTAAAATCTCACTATACTACTAAGTATTATCCAAAACGGCATGAACAATATTCTGAATTTTTAGGAAAACTAAACTCAGTGTCTGAGTTTCTTTGACACTTACTTTGATGCTGGAAAACCTGTAGGAAGTTTGCACCTGTATTCATCAGGCACTGGGATTTAGTTGCTTAAATACACCACTTTAAATATACCATTTCAAATATTCTGTGGTACAATAGTTGGCTCCTCACAAGTCCAGAATGGAAAAGATCTGCAATGCCTTTCCTGCCAACACCAAAGGTGTGACCTGGCATGGGAGGCCTTAAAATCTTGGACACCTGCCTTTCAGAATCTGAATCTCATCCAAGCTGTGATCCTTTTTAACCTGTCAGTATCAGATGAGCTGCTGTGCAATCATTCAGGCCCTCAGGCTGTCCCTACAGAACTACAGAATTTTGTGATTCATTGAATTAATATCAAAATCTTCATCAAAAAGGATTTTAAAATGTTGACTGGGCTTCAGAGTAGGCGCATGTAGCACTTGTTCAAAGAGAAAGAGAAACAGGTGTAAGGAGCAATCTTGTCTCCTTTCTGTTCATCTATTTTTAATTCAAAATGTTGCTCCTTTATTACATGAAACTCACCTAAAACACAGAGTGGAAAGAAAGGGGAGGACACTATATTAACATCCTTTTGAAAATGGAAATGTTTCAAAATGTGTATTTTTTCCACAACTGAAATAATATTTTTGAAAAGAGTATTTTTTCTATCCGACTTTAAATCAGAAAAATTTCTTGGGAACTGCTGTTTTTTCTCCGTATAGAAATAGGACTGCAGCACTTGACATATAGATAAAATTCATTATCATAAGCACAGACACAATACACTAGTATACATACAGATGATTGCCAAGAGACAAATGTCTCTATGCATGTGTGTGATAATCCATGAATAAATGCATTTATGACTCATATGTAGCTATTTCATATTTAGAGACATCTCTATTCATGGATTAAAAGAGAATGGACTAGATCCAGGAACTTACAGAAATACACACCTACACACAATACTTACACATATTATATAAAGATAAGAAAATAAAAATAAATTAAGAATTTTTATCTATACCTAGCATTCAGTATTTTCCATTTCTCTCTGAAAAACTTCCAAGCAAGATCCCTTCCATGTGGATTTCGAGCTACATGGATTATCACATCAATTGCATCCTGATCCAGGACAACTTCGGAGTTGAGAGACAAATTCAAAAGTCTAGTGGGAGAAACAAGAACATTTAATTTCACAAACACATTGTCCAACGTCAGTGCATCAGAAAACTTTTGGAAAAAGAAGATCTCTGCTGAATTGTTTAAGTCTCCAAGTGAGTTCAGTGGATAATTTCTATGATTCCAAAGACTGGACACATTTAGGAATCAGAAAAATCTTGATGTAAAAAGATTTCAGGAAAAGCTGAGTGCAACTTTACATGTGCATTTTTACTGATCTGTAAGATCAGATTGGTCAAGACATGGTAAATAAAGGACACAGTAACAAAAAAATACCCACAATTATTACAGGATTTAAAACATTTCCAATGAAGAAAGGAAAATCTGGAACTGAAATATGTGTCAGTTTTCATATGCATTAATGCAAAAGTGTAAGATGGTTTAAACAGACAGTAAGCCTGTACTTGAAAAGCAAATTTCTGTCCTTTAGATGAAAGGTCAAATGATGATCTATAACTGTTGAAATTATTATTAGTAACAGATCCAAATATTGAATATTTTTTACCTGTTAAGCAAGTTTCTGTCATCACTGCAAGTTAAGGCTTCTAATAGTATTTTCTTCTCAGACACTGCTGTGGTAGAATGAAATTTCATCCAAATGAATTCCCATACATCTTCATCCATCAGTGAAACTCCTGTACAGTAGACAATGTCTCTCACATTGAGAGGGATTCTACAAGAGAAATCAGTATTAGCATTTTGGTAAACAAGCAGCCTCCTGATATTGGATACAAAGGAGGACCATTTCGGAGATTTCAAATTTACTGTCCAATAGTAATGGGCTTTTTAGAAAATTACATTTGCTTCTCTTTACTGCTGCCAACACTTTCCAGGCCATCCTAATGGGCTTTCTAAAGGGTAGCATTTTCTTCATAACACCATCACATTGTCAGAAGACTATAAAACATGGTCATGGAGTTCATCAACTTATAATGTGCCACATAACCTACAGGTAACATAAGCTCTCCAAATTAGTACGGAGATTATCACTGCTGCTGGGCTCTGTGCCAAATCTGCTCTTCCTGTCTTTTCGACTGTTTTACAACAGGACCTGAGCAGCCAGAAACTCCTTCTTGCTTGGGCTGGAAAGGGCTTCATCTTCATATAGTAACATACAAGTAAGAAAGGATGTGCTGTGACAATGATACTAAAACATGATATTGTCAGGAAGAAAGATTTGGGTGTTTTTTTTAGCATATAATACCAGTACAGAACAAACTGTGCCATAGAGAACTGTAATTACTGCTAAATTAGTGTCAACTTAAACTACAGTTAAATTACCAAATTCAGACCTAGTGTATATACAGTATGTGCATATGTACAGTGTTCTTCTAAAAAGGTCTCATCTGGGCTTTCAATTTCCTACCTTGCTTATGTTTCCTATACAAGCATAGAAGCTGAAACATTTGTACCATTGACCCATTAATTCAGGTAGGAACGGTGGGCTGGAAGGACTGTCACTCTGTGTTTGGCTAGTACAGACACAGCAGCAGATGTACCAGAAGTGGATGTCTAACCCCAGAATAGATAGCACTCCTCACTTTCAAAATTTACAGCAAAATGTATCAATTCAATGGGCTTTCCTAGCTAGCCATTTTTTACATTCTAAGGGTCAACACCAGCAATTTTAGCAGCGGTGTAGTCAGTAAGCACAGGATCATTGGCATCTCTGGAAAGGAACGAGACCTTAAGACAAGGGATGGAGCTGATCCCATGATCATAGCCTAGATGTCACCACTTTCCTTGCTAAGAAAACTCTATTGCCACCAAATCAGTAATATTATACTTGCAGTGCTGCAGCAGATCTAATCAAAATCATCCAACCAACTGCTCCAGGGAAAGTTTTAGGTCTGTACCTATAAGCTAAGTAATTAGAAAGATGTGAAAAAACTTAGCCCTTACAAACCAAGACATCGAACACAAATACTGCTTTTAAAAGGCTTACTTTCAGAAACTACAAAATGTACTGCTATGAAACACTACCAACTTCTCCTGTGAGAGGCTTGCAATCAGCACTGTAGACAGGGGGGTTCCTTTTGTGGAAATGAAAATTGCTTATGAAAGTGAAAATGTCCCCAAAGTAATTTCTCTTTAACTATTGCTCCTACAGAGAGTCCTCTAATTGAATTTTGTCCATTTGTGGGGATTTTTGCTTTCTCACTCGTCCAGTCATTTTGGGCATGCATTCTATCATTATCTACATATCTGAAATCTCTTCAGTCTACAGGTTTTTTAGTATTATAGATTCCTGGAAAATTGCAGTTCCAAGGCACTAGATCAGCATGTGGATGTTTGTCCCTTGTATTAACCGAATCAAGCGGATAAAATTACCATTATTTTGGTACTGCTTGGGTCGTAACACTGCAGAACACATCCTGTTGTTAGTGAAACCTCATCTGTGCATTCAAGGCTGCTCTTTTTTTTTAAAGAGCTAATATGATTGATGGATACTTCAGAAGAATAAAAATAAACGTTTAAGAGCATCACTTTAAATGGCTTTAATTGGAATACTGATCTAATTTATTAAACTTTCTTTTTCTTGCATTAGAGATATGATGGTGAGAATGAAATGTGTAGTTAGTCAAGCTCATTTAAAAATTAAACACTTTAGGAGAAAAAGTTAAAAATTAAACAGTTAGGAAAAAATGAACTAAAATCGTGCTATGCCTTTACAGGAATTTCTTTCTTTCAAGAATGAATTATAAAGCTCTACAATGAGCTAAGAATAATGTTCTAAGTCATAATTAGCTGGTACATATTTGCTCCTATTTAAAGTATGTTCTAACAATTGAAGATACACTTATAAATTTGGACCATAATTATTTATCTTCTGGGGAAATTGTGTTCTAATTTTTTAAATGTAAATGCACGCAGATTAGACAGTTCTTTGATTAAGTAACAAGTTTCAACATCATTTAGGGTTCTATTTGACAAAGAAAATTAATCAGGACCATTATTCTTATTTTTGCAACAATTTAACATTTAACTTAAGCCTATTTTTCTTGATGACTATATTTATAATCTTGTTTAATAGGTTACAAGGCTCAGATAAGAAACAAGAATGAAGTGTTAATACTTTGTTGGCAGATCTGTAATACAGATTCTATTATAAAAAAGAGCACCATACAGCTTATTTTTAAAAACTTCAATCCCAAATCTTGTACTCCCATTCTCTATTACAAACTCCAGGAGTCATGCTGCTGGCACCATTGTGCAGAAGGAGGAGGAGATGATCCTCTGCCATAGCACATACCCAGTCTATAGAGAGAGGGCAGAACTTTCCCTTGAAAACTGCGGTACAGAGCTGTGATGGGCTCGACAATCAGGCGCCTGTCCCACCTAGAATTCAGGGGACATTAACTGAGGATGTGGCTGCTCAAGGTGTCTGGGGCAAAGCTATGCACAGTCCCTGTCCTGCGCTCCCAAGTTTCAGGTATCACATGGGTCTGACAGAGGCAGGCAGAGAATACATCATCCCTCAAGGGATGGTTACTGCTACTGCTCCTTCCCATTCCTACTGCAGATCCCCCACAAGTGAACATGCAACCAGCATAGTCAAGCTCTTCAACACTGACTTTAATAACTGAGTGATGAGTTAAGTACTTCTTTCTGGCACCAGTCCCTAAGTAGATATGTCTTTGTCCATTCTGGACAGTTTTTGCAACAAAAATATGGTCGTTTCTGATCATAAAAAAAATAATGGTCATTTTCCAAAGTTGTGGAGACATCATCCCTGAATGAGAAAACTGGAAGCTAATCTATCGAAATTTTAAAGATTTCAAATTAATTACTGCTAATCCATAATCACTACATATAGGGTCATTTTACTGTGGTGACACACAGAAGTCAGAAGACAAAAAATACTGCCTGAATCAGCTGCCCCATAATGCCCTGCTTCACCTTTTACAAGGTGAAGTCCTCTTTCTATTTAGACCCAGATGGTCTTCCAGAGTGCTAAGCCCTTGATTAACTCATGCACTCAACAGTGGGTTTTTCCTCCTTAAGTTTTATTGACTTGAGTGCAAGATTCTACTCAAATGTTGTAACAACCTATTAATTACTAAATCACTTCAGCAACATTGGCTCACATTAGCTGGCAAAGCTCCAGAAACATTTCAAAATGCATGAATAGCTATGCCTGATTTTTTTTCAGTAATTAAAGCTTCTAGGGGTTGCAAACACAGAAGAAGGGATTCACTTCATTTTTTTACATTTATCAGACACTCATGTGTGAAAAACATTAAAATAACTCTCATTTTTTCATGTTTGCTGCTAACAACTTCCAAAAATAGCTGCTAGGCATCAATCCCTTGAAAGAACCCAGTGCCTCTTCCAAGAAAATAACAAAAGTAATTAACCTGTTGGCCATGTTCTCACAAATACTTATGTAGGCGGTTAAACTCAAGTATATTTCTAAGTTGTTGCAAGACAGTAGCACTACTATGTCCATGTGAAACACAGAAATAAAATTATCTATCACAAGTAATTACATAGAGAAATAAAGGAGAAAGAAAAGGAAAGAAAAAAACGGTTGTTTGGAAAAACTTTTGATTTTCTATCACCTAAGCCAGACTTCATTGAAATTACTTCAATTAATGACTGGTAATTTACTACTCCCTCAGATCTATGGGGAGTTTTGTTTATAGATATGCAACACACTCCTATACATGCCTGCAATTGCTTTTCTGGTGGCATTTCCACTGAGTTGTTAGAGGTGAAGGCAATTAAGCACACTGCCAGCTCAGGCAGGTGGATTGATATGAATCCATTATTCCTTGTAGAGGAAACACAAAATTTCCATGAACAAGTGTGGAGGTTCACAATGCCCAAATTTGGCTTACTGGTTATCACTGTCCTTCAAATTATGTGATGGAAGACATTTACTTCACTATTTACACCTTTCTTAAGATGATAAAGAATTAACCATCACAGCAGCATGACAGAAGTGAAATGGTGAACAGTAGGCACTGAAAAAGTCCATATCTACATTATTACACTTTAAAAGAAGAGATGAGGTTGTTTAGTATTAGTGTGCAGAGATGTAAGATCCTGTCTTCATTACTTAGTAACCAAAAGTGGTTCATTTGTAATTCAAACAACACACAGATGTGTTCTGACTTGAAACCCACAGACAGAACAGGAAAGTTCATCTCTTCTTCTCTTTTCAGGGATCTCTGGCCTGTAGCAGGGCACCTTGCCCCCCCACAAGAGCTTATCTGTTGCTTGTTAACCAGTCAGGTAACTGAAACAGGAATAGTTGTCTTGTAGTGAGTCCTTTTGGATCACAGGGTTAACACGGGTCCAGCAACTCACAACTGACACCTTAATGTTGATGTGAGATCCAGAAGATAAGTTAGATTTTCACTGACAGACACCTCACTTTACAAACTATATAAACTACACCAAACTCACAAGGCAGAAATCCTCTGCACATTTCATGGAAATGTATGGGGTTTTTCCCATGAGAAGGGATGCATGCTTCCCTATTACTCCCACTGAGACTGAGTGAAGGAATCTGTGTACATTATCATTATTTCAGTGGTAAGTTACATTTGACTCCTAATCAATACTGTATCTTTTGCTAGCTTTATTATAGGTACCTTGATGTCATGCACTGGCTTATATCATGCTGTAATCTACTAGTAGTTCCTTTTAGTTTTATACTGTGTAGTA